ATACTGTACTCAACAACAGGACGGAGTCCTCTCTTATCGATTGGATCCCAGCCAACAGTCGTTTGTGTGCAGTGCGTCTCCAGGATTCAATCAGCATCCGGAAGGAAAGCAACACCAAAAGGTGTTTGTTCATCGTATCAGCATATACACTGACCAGTTGCAGTTCTGATACCCAATGATGATGACGATGACCTCACCGATCTCATTCGGATGAGTCGAAGCTCCAACATAGTTGTATTTGCAGGTGACTTCAACGCGCAAGTTGGAAAACTGGGCGCATCAGAAGCTTGCCTAAGCGGTAGTTGTGCTCTGCCCAGCTTACGAACAGATAACGGCGGTCGACTTCTTCAGTTCTGCACAGATCATCATCTGTTTCTATCAAGCACCAACTTCCAACGTAACTCTCGACGGCAACGTGGCGCTCCAGTTCAAATGGTACGTTCACTCAAATCGACTACATAGCAGTAAGTTACCGTTACACCATCACGACGAGACTGCACATTGACGTGGTGTGATGGCTTGTGCACCTCTCTGACCCAACGAGCTACACAGGATAGCTTTTGTCAAGCCGAAGATCTAATCATGCCTGGAAGGTCGAAGGCGAGAGGTCGGACGAAGTCCAGTCTCCTGGTCCTCCAGGTTGGGAGTTCGACTGGAATTTGCGTTTCAGTCGGTAAAATTGTTGGGGAAGTAATCGATCCAAGTAAATCGGCCTCCACTTCGCTTCATCCGCTGCCTTGCGGTTAGGTTCTTGTTAGAACTAAAGGCTTTGTTTGAGAACCCTAATCGTTCTCCTGCTTAGTGGCTGGACACCCTAGCAGTACCCGTCCATCAAACCTTAGTGCTTGTGCATTGCGAGTTTGGCAGCGATCAGTGAGGTTCACTTCTCTGTATTACGCTGTACGATGATGATGAATTACCGTTGGTGTGGCTCAATGCAAAATTGCGGGTCCTATTGGACCGCCTTCGTTGAGTCTGACCACTCATTAGTTTTGATGCAGGTAACTGTTCGGTTAACTGGTCGACGACAAAACCAGCAAACTCGGATAGCTCACCATCGACTATATGTTCCAGCCGTTCGTGCACGCTGAGTCAGAACTAGTGCGTGAGCTAAGCGCGCCTCAACGTGATGATTTAAATGAGCAGTGGGATCAGATTAGGCGAGCAATGCATTACGCTGCGAATGTTGCTTGTGAAACTGAGCCTCAAGCCCGTCGAAGGCATTGATTGTCTGATGAGTCTGCAGCACTGATGGATCAAAAACGATAAATCCCGACCTGCCAGGATCAGAACGAAGTTAGGTGGCATCTACAATGTCAGCTCACGAAGAGCCTCGAGAAGGACCGTGAGAACTAGTGGGCAACCATCGCTAGTGAAATGGAAGTAGCGGCTGCATCAGGGAATATTCAAAGACTGTTCCGACTGCTACGCAATACTGGAGGTCGGCGAACTCCAGTTAGTGAAACAGTCTGCGGTAAGAGGGGACAGGCTATCCACAATAGGGATCAACGACTCGATCGCTGGGCAGAATACTTCAGTGAACAGTTCAACTGGCCTAGTGCTAACCAGGCTGCTTCATCCACAACTGAAGCTCCGTGGGCAGTGTCATGCGGTCCTCCAGCAGAAGCAGAAGTTCGGTCTTGCATTCAAGCTCTGGAGTGAGGAAGGGCAGCAGGGCCGGATGAGCTCCTTCCCAGTCTTTTCAAGATGGCGATGATAACCTCGTAAGCTCTATTACTACCCTACTGCGCAACATTTGGACGCAAGAACACATTTCTTCATCTTGGGGCTAATCACTGATTGTTCCCATTTTTCAGAAGGGATCTTGCAACGATTGCGAAAACCAGTGGGATTAGTTTGATTCCGATCGTCACCAAAGTACTAGATTCGGTTATACTTTAACGTCTGACTCCTTTAAGAGAGACCAACATCCGTGAACAGCAAGCCGGATTCCGGCCTAGCCGTTGATGTGTTGATTAGATTTTTACGTTGAGTCAGATCGTTGAACTGCGTCATACTCACCGTCGGCGAACGATCACAGTGTTCCTTGACCTGAAAGAAGCCATCGACTCAGTTGATCGCGAAGCTCTGATGGGCTCCGTTCTTCGAAAAGGAATGCCCCAGAAGTACGTTAACCTACTGAGGTCAGTGTACTCACACCTCCGGTCATGTAAGGGTCTACAACGAACTAAGTAGGCTGTTCGTCACCAACAGCGGCGTTCGTCAAGGATGCCCTCTTTCACCGTTCCTGTTCAATTTCGTCGTAGACGAAATACTGGAGAGCGCTCTAAGTGGACTCCAAAACGTAGGTATTGAATGGGCAGACGGAGGAAAGCTGTGCGTTTTAGAGTACGCCGATTACAACGTCTATCTGTTCGAATGTATGGAGGACGCGCAAAGCGCACTTGATAGATTAACAAATGCAGCAGCCACATTCGATATGTGCTTTGCACCTTCAAAGTGTAAAGTGATGCTGCAGGACTGGGTTTCCTCTACTCCCACTCTGAAACTAAATGGCCAGGATTTAGTTGTCGTGGATTACTTTTCCTACTTAGGTAGTTGCATGACCAATGACGGTAGTGCAGCAAAGGAGATATCTGCCCGCATTTCCAAGGCTCGCTGAGGCAAACTATTGAAGGATTAGCACACAACATTAGATATATGGATGATATCTTCTGTGTGACCGATCGTAAACATGACATCCAACAGATATTGAAGTTGTTTAACGAAGCACATCCATCAC